ATTGGTGAGAGAAGTGCCTGCCAGATAATCCTACTCGCTTCATTTGGCTTTTTCAGGCAACAAATCGCCTCGTTAACACACAAACCATACACTTGTATAGGAAAGATAGATAATAAACGGTAGTCAAGCGTGGCTGTCACATGAGAATAAGACGGTCACAAGGTCAGAATAGACAAAGAAACAGATGAAGACGATGCATTTCGTTACAACAACTTCTAGTGACTCCGATGGTCACAAATACTTCAGAGTCAGCTGTTTTGTGTCTGGATGAGAGTAAAGTGAAGTTAGTAGAATCCGGAATCGGTTTTTTCTCAGCTGATGATCCCTGATAATTGGATATCTCTTATACAAGCAAATTATTTAGACGAAATCATATCAAGAAAACCTTCTAACGATACAGGTTCAAAAGCTACGATCGCGAAACATGTGTTGAATGAAGAACGTATGCCAAAGGATAATGAAACAATAGAAAAACGTGCACATATGAATGATCAAGAAGGTACAAAATTAGTTGATAAGGTCCATGAAGATTCCACAATGAATCTAAATCGTGATTTAACAGTAACATCGGGAACTAACGTTGATATGAAGAAATACGAACTGGATGTCATTTTAAATTGTAAACAATTGGATCTTTTTAAATTAGAAGACTTAGTACAAGCTGGTGAATTACAATATATCAATCAAACATTGAAAGATATATCAGAAACATTGGTTGATAATTTTTATTGCAAACATCACACGTTTCCCGAATTCATTCAGGAGTGTGTAACACCAGTTATGTATCTATTAAAACGATTACAAAATTTAGATGATTTTGTGAACACATTGACATTTAAATATCAACGAATGCAACAAAAAATAGATCGTAAATTAACGAAAACAACAAATTTAAGTTTAAGGATGTTATTACATGTTCTATTTATGAATTCCGATATATTTTTACGACGAATCATTATGTCATTAGTAAGTAAACGGAATCCAGTGCCAATCATTTCACCAAATATTCAAAACTGGAATCAAAACGAAACATATGAATTTATGCCTGCAATTATACATGTATGGAATCATACAAGACCAACAATATTATCATTTGGCATTGGTCCGTGTCAAGGTAAATCAACATTATTAAATCAATTATTTCAATCAACGTTTGAACAAAGTGTTGAAAGTATTTATTTTCAACAAACAATCGATATTGATTTTGGTTATTGTTTTAATCCTGAACGAATATTAAATATTGCTGATACTCACGGCACGATTGACAAAAAACTATTGCGTAAAATTGAGCGATTATTTGATGGATTTTTAATACAGATTGATAAACAATATTTCGATCAACAATTACAAGTTGTAATTGAATATATGGAAGTTTTATCTAAAGAAAATTTTCAAATGATCATCATACGTGATTCACCAAATCAAAATCTAGTAGATCATTCATTAAAAATCAGAAATTTAGCCAAACAATGTGAATTAGAGTTATCACAAAAATTACATATATATCCATTACGAAATGTTTCAAATACAAATGATCGAAATATTAATTTCTCTATTGAAGATTTACGTGAAGAAATACTAACAAAAATACAAGAAGAAATAAAAGTAACCAACGATAAAGATGAAGTATTAGCAAATTTACAAAAACTTGTGAAAAAAGATTATTTTGAGTATTTAAAAACAATGGATAAAATAATTCAACCATTGAAAAAGCGATTATTACAAAAAAATGAATATCAAAGGGAACAGAATTTTCCATTGTATTTGAAATTTCGAGAATTATGTAAACTACGACAACAATTAAAAAAAATTGACTTTTATGGTGCAGAATGTGAAAATATGTTTGAAGTTAATTCTCAATTGTTTAATTTAGAAAGTGACTTAGATCCTAATACAAATAGATCCTCACCAATACAATGTGGCTATGTTTTTGACTCATTTATTGAAATATTAAAATCAAAAAATATGTTGATGAGTTTAGATTTATTAGCATCTGAGTTGAAATATGAATTGTCAAGTTTAGGAGGCGATAAATTAGCTGGTGATTTATCGATTGAAAATGCTTTTTTGTCATTGGAAGTACTTTGGCGTAATGCAATTGTTTGCTCTAATCATACACCAATTGATACACAGAATTTAATACAAAAGTCTTATCATGATTTTGTTGCAGCTGGTTTTCCATTTGAAATAATTGATGGTGATAATTTTCATTTTCAACATCAATTTTTAACCAAAGTTTTGAGCCAATTTAGCTCGCAACGGATATTAGTTATTAGTATTATTGGTCCTCAAAACAGTGGTAAAAGTACATTATTAAATTATATGTTTGGAACATTATTTGATGTCAGAGAAGGACGTTGTACTCGAGGTATTTATGGTTCATTTGTCAAATTAGATAAATCAAATCAAATGATTAAGAATATTTTGAAAAAATCTAAACAAAATGAAAACTCAGACATTGATTATATTATGTTAATAGATACTGAAGGTCTTTTATCAATTGAAAAAGGTGATAAAGAATACGATCGACGCTTAGTTTTATTTTCTTTGGCTGTGTCACATTTAGTCATTGTTAATATGATGGGAGATATTAATGAAACATTGAAAGATATGCTAACATTATGTGCAGATTCATTAAAACAAATTGGTGTTAATACTATCAATCAACCAATCGTACATTTTATTTTAAATCAAAAAGCTGATCCAAATTTAAAAAATCATATGGAAGCTATTGAAAAAATAATTGGAGATTTGAAAGAAAAAAAATTAGCTGAGGTTATTGATATTAGTCCAAAAACATTTCATACATTACCATCAGCATTTAAGAAAGAACGTGTATCAACTGATACAAAGAGTCCGTGTTTTATACGTACAGAACCAGACTTTATTGAACGTACACAGCAATTATGTGAGAAAATCATAGAATCAGCCAAATCATGTTATGGAAGATCTGGTGACATGTTCTCGGATCCACCACGATGGCTTAAAACAGCTGTAAATATATTTGATACATTACAGAAATTTCCAGATTTAACATATTTTAAAGATATT